ATATATGGAAAGTCTCAAAGAATTATTACCCATAAAATATAAGGAAATATTTGGCAAATCATGAAGTTGGATACCTCCAAAGAAGGCTAAAGTGAATTTATTTCAATCATAAGGAAAGAAATCATTTGTAAATAATGTAAGACTATTCTTTCATACCCTAAGATGTACTTTTAGTGGCCAATTAACAAAAGCAGAATATTGTTGAAAACTTGCACAGTTTGTTTTCTGATTTTTAAAAGGTGAGTCAGGGTTCAGATACAGGTACATCTCAAGCGGGTTTAAGTAAGTAGTATATTTTAATTAACAGAAGAGCCATTGGAAATCTAAAGGAAGTCTAGAAAATTTTACATTAAAAAATTTGATCATGTATGTTACAATTCTATAGAATCTCTGGAAGTCTTATATTGTTATGAAATCTCTCATGAGGTCTAATTCTCAAAAAATATGACTATAATTCTAAAATTCAGGTCTTACAATAAGTATGTCTGAGTAATTCCAAAATACATTTTGCCTCAGGATGCTGGGCTCTTTAAATATGGATAAGTAATTTACTTTTCAAGTAGCTCAGACAAGGAGAAAGAATACAGGAGCAAAAGTCAAGGGCAAGCAGCCTCCGCCTCACTCCAAGGCTTCCGCTTTTTCTCTCCCCAGCCACTGGGTGTCAGTAGATTTCACAAGGTGGAACTGGCCAACAGGAATTTCTCTTCCACATCCATTCAGTCAGATTTAAAATGGAATAAGTTTTCTAACAGTATCTCCTTTAGTTTGTTATATCAGCTATTATTTATTGGGTCCTCGGCATATGCCAAAAATATTTAAATATTTCAACTGCATTATTGTATTGAATTTCATTCCAAAATAAAGCAACCCTCTGAGGTAAGCGTAATATCTCCATTTTATAGATGTAGTAACTGAGATTTAGAAAGATGAAGTCACTTTCCTGCAATACAAAGTGGAAACAAGTGGGATTTGCATTATCTGGCTGATTTCAAATCCAATGTTCTTTACTTATAAACTGCTATACAATATGGTATACAGGAAGATTTAGGTTGAAATCCCAGATATTAGCTGTGTAAATTGAACAACCCTTTTCATAACTTCCTCAGCTTATATTTCCCTAATTGTAACATGAGATTCTGATAATTGCCCCCTTTAATTCACAGGAACACTGTGGAAAATAATTTTTAAATGAAAGTATTTTATAAACTATAACACTGCATGCTAACGTATACAGTCTTAAAAATTGTACTTGTATATATTAAATACAAGTGTTGAATTTAAATTTGATATATTCTGTGGAGTAAGCACAGTGACCATTAAGCCAATTTTAGGTATAGTAAGCTTAATTTCTATGCTGAAAAATTAGATGAATTAAATGATTTCACATGAATTAGAGCCTGACAATTTTCTTAATCAAGACTCTCTCCTGCTCCCATTAGGTGGCAAGTCATAAAACTCTATTCAAATGTTCTAGAAGAGCATGATGTTTCTTAAATCACCTGAGGACAGAAGTGCAGCTGGATCAGATGAAGGCCAGAAAACCAGGAGTTAAAAAATGTCAAAAGCTGTTACTCTTTCTCTCCCTAACTTTCTGCATGGCTGTTTAACTTTCCTGTCTTTGAAAACTGGTTGTTTCTGCTTCTCGTTAACATACATAGTACAAAAACGGAAACCTCATTAGGTTTAATATCTCTTCAGGTTCAAGTTTCTAAAGTAGTGTAACCAGCATCTCTGAATCCCAAATATAAATTCTCCTGAGAGAGAATCTGATTGGCCCAGTCTGGGTCAATTATCCACTCTTATTACAAAATTTCTCAACTCTCAGTACTATTAATATTTCCTGGGCCGAGCCCGTGGCGCACTTGGGAGAGTGCGGCGCTGAGAGCGCAGCAGCACTCCCGCCACGGGTTCGGATCCTATATAGGGATGACCAGTGTGCTCACAACGCTCACTGGCTCAGCACGGTGCGGCAGGTCTCAAAAAGGACAAAAAAAAAAAAAAAAAAAATTCCTACTGAATAATTCTGCTTTGTTTAGGTGGAGATAGGAGGGGATCTCCTGTGCACTGTAGGATGTTTAGCAACTTTTCTGGTCTCTACCTTACTAGTGCCCATGGATTCCCTCTCCCCACCTCTGTGTTGTGACAAGCAAAAATGTTCAGACATTATCAAATGTCTCCTGGGAGACAAAATCACCTGTGGTTGAGAAACATTGCCTTGTGACCAAGAATAAAGTGTAGCATAAAACAAACATTGCTACAAGAACATTCTAGAAGAGGATGGTTCTCAGAGAAAGCCATATGTCTGCTTGGCAATTACCCTGAAAGCTGTCTACTATAAGAGACGTTGGTGGAAATTACGACTTTTTAAAATTTTGGCCAGTATAATGACCAATAATAAAAGTTTAAGAATTTTGAGCACAGTATGAATTGATGGAAAATTTAATTTTCAGTCAAAGTTGAGAGAAATCCATATATGTTGTTTTCCCATTCTATCTTAATGCAGTGATTTCCATGCTTTTGCTCATACGTCCCAATCAGGGAATAAGTACTCACTATCTATGCATATTTATGTATATATAATCCAACTATACTACTGTAATTTGTGTTCTACAATAATGCACATAAAATTAGACAAAGATGATGTCAACAATTAAAATAATTTTATCTGATTTTATTTATTAATAGTATTATTGAAAGTACTATATAGGGCTTCTGGTTTGGAAAAGATGACATAGATCTATTTCTACCTGTCTGCTAGGTTCAGCTGCAAACCCTGGAAATAGTGCAACCAAAGGAGAACTTTGAAAGGTGGTAGGAGGAAATCATTCTGGTTTTGAATGTAGCACTTAAATCCCCCTACCCAACAGAAGAATGAGACCCATTCCGGCATTTCCCAAATCTGAGCTCATTCATCCCCCTAAGGTGAGCTCTAACATGAGTCTCTCCACAACCCTATGTGAGCTCAGTAGTCTTGAGACTTCCCTCCTATGCCAGGAGACAAGGGGTGGTCGGACCACCCTTGCCAAAGCAGCCCAGCCATGACAAAAAACCCACTGGGAAGCCTCTTTGACCCCTTCTGTGTAATAAAGTAAGGAGGTAAGTGAGTGAGTAAAAACTCATTTTTAAATTTGACAACTCAGAAGTTTTTTGCCATGAAATAAGCAGTGGATCTCTACGCACTTAATTTCCATGGCTACTTGCAACTTCATCACAGGTGTTGCAACAATTCTTTATTTAGAGATCTCAACTTCATGCAAATAGCCACATCCATGTTATCCCAGCATTGTGAGATACTTGGTTTCTATTTTGCTCTTAAAACACTATCTCTATATACTGTAGTAAATGAATTTCACTCAGTAACCTAATCTTACTTTAGAATCCTGCTTAAAATTCTTGTCAAAACATTACTGCCAGAAAACATTGTTTCTATTAAATAAGTTAATTTAAATCTACACTGAGATACAATTTTTCATCTAACTCTTTGACAAAGACCCAGAAGTTTGATAATGCACTGCTTTGCCCAGGGAATAGGGACATAAGCGTTCACATATATTGCTCCTGGCAGAAGTAATTGTTACAACCTCTGTAGAGAACGAGATCTCCATGTTGGTGATTTCTGTCAAGCTTTATATACATATGCCCAGGACCCTACAAATTTTACTTCTAGGTATTCATACAACAAATAATTCATACACATATGGATGGATTGAAAAAAATCAAGCTGAAGTACAACATGTAAAGCATGCTAATATATGAATTACAAATAGATGGGTACATATATACATATTTCATATGTATGCATAAATTTTCTTTGGAAGAATACACTGAAATAACAAATAATGTTTGTTGCTTATGAATGTCTGAGGGATAAAGGTGGGACACAGGTGAGAAGATACTTCTTACTTTATGCTCCTTTATATTTTATGAATTTTAAATATGAGAATGCCCATAAATTTAAAAAATAAACTTAAGAAATCATTTACTATGAAAAGTATATCTTTCCTATACTTTTTTCTTTTGATGGCTCACAATAAAATAATTCTTTTTGTATTTCTTGATTGAAATAGAATCAAGCAAATATCATGAGCTGAGACAAATTAGAAATCTCTGAACTTTCATCCTACATTCTAGCAAACTTCCACAATGTCTAATATTTCTGTGCTCAAAATTTTGATAATGTCTTCTATGCTAATAAACGAATACATTTAAAATAGTCACCACGCTGTTTTCTGTATGTTATTTCAGCTGTTGTTATTGCAGCAAGAAGAAAAAGTGATTGCTATTTGTATAGGGCATTATGTTTTTCATTTTTAAAGCAATCCTTTATCCTTAAGATTAGTGATAGTTCAGTTCTGGTTTGAGTATTATATGACTTTAAGAATGCTAACAAGTCAGATATTTGTCTTTATATTCAGCATCATTTGTTTTTCCTAATGTCTTAGCAGTGATTATAGCTTCATACTTAATGACTAATCCAAGGGACAATATACTCTAAGGTTAAGATTCATTGTCAACAATAACGGATCTATACACATAATTCACATGGTTTGTATCCTTGTGCCTAGAGCAGTGCCTAAAATATAGTAAACACACAGTATCCTTTATTTTCTTTCGTTTTTTTAATGAATAAATGGTGATATAATTACTTGGGGAAAATACTGAGACATCCAGTTACCTAAAATTGAGTTATGATGATTTTGCATATACTTGGATTTTCTACTTCTACTGATATACAGACTCTGAAGTCATAGCTAATATCACCACAGCTGTGCTGGTAAGATCATTAACCTAGAAACCACAATGAAATATTATAAGCAATTATATATTATGTCTCATTTGAAAGCAATAAAGTTAGGCAGTTTACTTGGATAGAAGCAAATCTACCACAAAGAGGCAAAAGCTCATTTTCATGTGTTGGATGACCATAAGTACGGAAAACATCAATTACTAAAATTTCTTGATCATCCCAAACCTGTGCTTTCTTACTGTTGAACACTTACAAGTCTGGCAATGATTTTCGGTGGGTCCCCAGCATCTGCCAGTACAGGACTTATGGCAACGTCCACCTGGAGAACAGGAAAAGGGGAAAAAGAAGACACACATTATAACCTTTCACTCCTCGATTAGTAGTAACTCCTCAAAGGAAATACTCTTGCTCCTTTATGAGGATTTTTATGCCACACTAGAGTTGAAATATAGCCCACAAAATGCCCAAATAAGTAGCAAAACCTGAATGTCCAATATATGTGAAACTGAAGTACAATCTTCTAGTATTCAAAATCCTTTCATCGTCATATAAGAAAAAAATGAATTTGTGAATTTTCTCAGAAAGCCAAAAATAAAAATATTACGTAAGTTTCACTTTGACTACTGAACTTTGTTATCCTGTTGATCTATTCTCCATGATATAATTTCCAGAGTTCACAGCTTACTGATACCAACAGATATTAAAAATTAAAGCAATAGTTTAAAAAAATTGAATTCTATGAAAAGGAGAACATATTCTTATAAACACATGACAAACCATCAGAGTAAAGGTAAATCAAACATTCAAAAAAGCTACTTTTTAAAGAAAGCTTAATTTCAATTATTTCATATGCAGTTCTACAATTTTTCTTGATACCGTCTGCATTTTCAAATATCAGCCTTTACCTCCTGTAGTGGTGTCTTTATCTGCTATAGGTATTTGCCTCAACAAACCCAGTTGTCCCATAGAGAAATTCCCCTCAGGACTCAACAAAAGAACATTAGCTAGAAGAAATCAAGTAAAATGATTTTTTTTTTTTTTTGAAGGTTGTTTCTGAATTTCATAGGTTCACTCTAAATTTCTGTGGGCACATGGCTCATTTTTAAAATGAAAAATAGAGATGGAAATCTATTAAAGACTAAAGCTTTTCTATAACAAGCTTCTTATTAAGTCTCTATTAATTTTCAAATTTTAATTGTTAATGAGATATTCCCAAAGTGTTTAACAACATTAACTACATTGTAAAAATGATCAAATAATGTTATAGCAAATGTTTCCACCTTTCACTGACCCACAGCTTTTAAACTTTGGATTTGGAAGTCCTTATAACTTGGAGGTTTTTTCCCCCATCCAATGAAACTGTCTCATTGAGCCTATAATGTTAAATGTTGCACAATTAAGATACAGATTCAGCAGGCACACTTTCTCTGTCTCAACCTCAGTCCTCCTGATAGTCTACCCTTCTGGACATGAACAGTAATATTGCCAATACTTAGCTTCAATTCCAGTCATTCTAAAAGTATTGGGATCTTTGCTACAACAGAGTTTGTTTAAAGCAATTCTGCAATTCTATTTATGAAGCACTGCTGTTGACATCACCAGCATATAATATCCTGTCACTTTGCCATCTGTTTATTTAGATCCAAACACATTATAACTACATAATGGAAGCTCATTCTAGCTGACAGGAAAAGGACTCCTTTATTTAGAGATCTCAACTTCATGCAAATAGCCACATCCATGTTATCCCAGCATTGTGAGATACTTGGTTTCTATTTTGCTCTTAAAACACTATCTCTATATACTGTAGTAAATGAATTTCACTCAGTAACCTAATCTTACTTTAGAATCCTGCTTAAAATTCTTGTCAAAACATTACTGCCAGAAAACATTGTTTCTATTAAATAAGTTAATTTAAATCTACACTGAGATACAATTTTTCATCTAACTCTTTGACAAAGACCCAGAAGTTTGATAATGCACTGCTTTGCCCAGGGAATAGGGACATAAGCGTTCACATATATTGCTCCTGGCAGAAGTAATTGTTACAACCTCTGTAGAGAACGAGATCTCCATGTTGGTGATTTCTGTCAAGCTTTATATACATATGTCCAGGACCCTACAAATTTTATTTCTAGGTATTCATACAACAAATAATTCATACACATATGGATGGATTGAAAAAAATCAAGCTGAAGTACAACATGTAAAGCATGCTAATATATGAATTACAAATAGATGGGTACATATATACATATTTCATATGTATGCATAAATTTTCTTTGGAAGAATACACTGAAATAACCAATAATTTTTGTTGCTTATGAATGTCTGAGGGATAAAGGTGGGACACAAGTGAGAAGATACTTCTTACTTTATGTGAATACTATCTAGCTGGAGAAAGAAAGAAAGGAAGAGAGAAAAGAGAGATGGAGAGAGACAGGAACAGAGAGAGACAGAAAGAGGAACAGAGAAAAGAAGGAAGGAAGGAGGAAACTAAGTAACATTAGTAACATTAGACATCTTAATACTCTTAATATTCCACTCTTACCGTATTAAACATTTTTAACTTCTTAGTTTTTAAGTTTCAATTTACCACCCAGAGACCTGCTCCCAGATTTAATATAAAAGGCATACTAATAGAAATATTGTTTATGGTTCTTGACAAGATATCATGGAAAAACAAGTGATATAGTCCCCTCTTCCTCCCACCCCCCAACACACAGTTTAAATAATTTACCCTTGACTGTCTGCTTGCTGTTATGAGATTTTGTTGGTAATTTTCATTTTTCATATGTATTTACACAAAATTATCTATTACTGCTATAAAAAGAAGATGCCAGCAACTGCTTCTCTTCTTGACTTTTACTGTCTCATACACCCTCCACCCACTTTGGAAACCAAGAGGAGATGATCCGCTGGGCCACATATCTCAGTTCTGTTAACACAAGTGCACTACAGGATCTTGAACCGAATGTGTTTCCATAATTGGTGGTTCAGCCTGACCTAACTTTATTTGGCTGTACCTCTAGATCGTTGACTCTTGGAATCTACCCAGGTGCACAGATAAGTTTTAACCTTCAAAATGGTGCAATATATGTCACTTGTGTTAACACTGTTGTCACTGAGTTTTTGCAATTAAGTAAATGTCACAATATCTGGCCCAAATCTCTGACTAGGAGATATTTCTGAATTAATGTATTTACTGCACTTTCAGGCCTGCAACCTTAGTCTGATTCTTGTGGATAATTTGGAGGTGTATTTTTATAGAATATTATGATTAAATATGGTTTTACATATGTTTTTAGCTTTTTGTTCCTACCATTTCTTCTGCATGAAACTATCAAAGAGATGAGGGGTGGATAAAGTGTTTCCGTAGTAATTATTTTTCTAGCATAGGATAAATGACAACTAAACTTCCCACATTTCCTAGAAAGTAGAAACCTTCCTTCCAGCCATTTTACCCATCATTATTTTGTAAGTATCTTCTTCATTCTGTGTATTAGGTACTATGCTAAATATTGGAGATAAAATATTGAGCTGAACAGGCATGGTTACCACCCTCATAGAGTTTAGAATTAACTCAGTATTATTTTGAAGGAAAAAGGTTTTCACTATATCTAATGTTCACCCTCTATGGGTTTCAGGGGAAAAGCCAATGAGTCTAGATTTTTAACAGTACCCTAGATCAGGAAAAACAGTTGGGCAAGCCAGGCTGAGCTAGATCATTCCCAATGTAAAGTCTAGTGGCTGGGAGTTGCGCTACTTTCTTTACTCAGAGATTTATCTAAGTGGCAAATGAGATCACCCCAGAGCATTTCGGTACAGAAGGTAATATGACCTCTAAAATTTCCCTTGTTTGTGTCCTTCTAAAAGAAACAAGAATGCTTTAACTATAGCTTAATATCTTATTGGGGACTTTCTTTCTGCCCTCTGTTCTCAGGTATGCAGTACCCTAAGGAATCCTGATTACATTAGGAAAAAAAGACCTTACATGTCACTAGTATTTTAGTGTGAATTAGTTTATAAACTACTCTTCCAGGAGTATGTTTTTTTTTCAATGAGGAATGCAAAAAAGGGAATTAGTCGGATACCAGAATATGTAAATACGAGCAATGTTTTGGAATTTTGCCAGTGCTGTCCAAATCTGCCCATTTCCATGTCTCAAACCATTACATGATTCTTTTCAATTTTCATTGCAATAGTTCTTTTAAAGCGATGTGAGAAAATAGGCTTTTTTTTTCACCTAAAAACAGAGAATCTGACATTTCCATACAACATTGTGATAGCACAGTTATTTAAATTAATATTTTGTCATTGACTGACAATCAAAGATATGAAACGAGAAACAAAACAAAATTTCAAACGAGTATTGTTTGTTACTTTAGTAACTATTTTATTTTTTTTAAATAAGTGCTGATTATTTCAGCATTGCTTTAATTCACAGGCAATCCCCTCTGCTTTGACAATGCATTATTTGTTGCAGAAGTTAGCAAATATGACCGAGCTCATCTTTTATGCTTGTCCAACAGATGTTACTAAAAATTCAGCTTCTGCATTCTTTCTTAGAAACTAGGGTCCCTGATCTGCTTTCAAATTTTTGAGTCATAAGTTCATGCTAGAAGTTTTGCTTGTTTATGTGACCACCTGACAGAGATGGGATTCAATATCTAACTCTGTAATACTTTCTGCAAGTAATATGCCTGGACAGTTAAAGAGTTACAAAATATAAAGTCACTGGCAACCATAAGCCATTATATTCTCTAACTGCGTTAGCTAAAGGCAATGCAGTTACATCCCTGGATTCTTCTTTCAGTCCTTTTAAGAACCGGCAGTCTTGACCTCCTAAAACTACTTTAACCAGGGAAAGAAGTGAGAGAATAATATCTTTCTTATGACCATATAGTTCAAAAAAGGGAAGTGAAACATTTATTGAAAATTTATGCTAAACCATCCCTATTATTGTTAGGGAGATAAAAAGATGAATAAGTCAGTGTCCTGCCTTCAAGGAGCTTTTAGGGTCCAAGAAATAGAGTAATAGACAAGTATTATAGCTATAACATTTGCTAAAATATAGGTATGCAAAAAGTGGAGAGGAAGGATTTGAAAAAGGCTCTGCAGAAGAGTGTACTTGAATGGCTACTTTGTCTAATAGAGAAGATGAAGGTAGGAGAGTTCCAGACTGAATGATGAATCTAAGCCATGTTACAGAGGCATAGATAAACACAACTCTTTGGGGCCACAGTGAGTATTTTAGGGTATTTTGAGCACAATTTGCATAAGTAATAACAGCTGGAGTATGAACTTACAAAGTTTCTT